GGACCTGAACCTGTTCAGCCTCCACAAGAGAAGGCTGAGGGGGGATCTAGTGGCCTGTTACAAACTAGTCAGAGGGGACCAGCAGGCATTGGGAGAATCGCTGTTCCCCCGAGCACTACCAGGAGTTACCAGGAATAACGGTCCCAAGCTGGCAGAGGGTAAATTCAGGCTAGACAGCAGGAGGCGCTACTTCACTGTCAGGGCGGCTAGGATCTGGAACCAACTTCCAAGAGAAGTGGTGCTGGCTCCTACCCTGGGGGTCTTTAAGACAAGGCTAGACAATCACCTTGCTGGGGTCATCTGACCCCAGTACTCTTTCCTGCCATGGCAGGGCATCGGACTTGATGATCTGCTCAGGTCCCTTCCAACCCTACCTACTGCGAAACTATTTTGTAACCAATATAGGCTTTGAGGCCACTTATCTGTTGTCACCCCTCCAGCAACGGAGCACTACTTTGCATTGCTCCCACGTGGGGCCAGGTCTCATCTCCTCAGAAGCTGCATTGCAAGTAAGTCTCCAATTCCCTTATTCGTGGCCCATCTCCATGGTTCATTCGAGGGAGTTATTGACAATGATAAAAATCCGTCACTGCTGCCTCCTGATTAACCACGTTACATCTCCAAGATTAATAGTCCAAGTCTAGAAACCACCACTGCTCCCCTTGTCCATTTTCTATGACAGATGCAGCCTTCTCCTAACTCTCTCTTCCTTATATTTCCTGATTTGGCCAGGTAGTAAACCTCACTAGGTAACCCCATCAACAACTCTGTCCCCTAGAAACATTTTTAGCATCCTCTGTCTGCTATGCAGGAGTGTTTTCTTTCAAGAGCATTGTCTTTGCTGCTTCCTGCACAGTGCTTCCATGAGCTCCATAAAGGTGCTTTCCATTTCATCCGTGCCAACTGCCCTGCCTTGGCTGTAATGTTTCTGAAAGTTTATTTAAAAACACAACTGCTGTGCACGCTCAGGTGCATGCTGCTTTCCTAATAAAGTCACAAAGATTGCTTGTTTATATGAAGCTCCTTATTGTGTGTGTTGCATTAGTACCTTTATGGACTAGGGTACTGTTGTGCCAGGTGCTGTACAAGCAGAGAATAGCAGCATCGTTTGTGCCCCAGGGAGAAAAGCTTTCCAATATTGCCTCTGCACTCCAGTAAAAACAGGTGCATTTCTTTTTGGAACAAAGTGCTCACATTTTTTTTTAAAGGAATGATTCATAGTTACTCTTATCTCCTTCCACAGCAAAGAGAAATGATTTATAAATATTTTCAGCTTCACTCCCCACTGGATAAATTAATGAGCTGACCTGCACTTTGCTGCTCTCCATGCTAAGCCCTGTTGGCGTTCGGAGCGTGATGAAGCACTCCGTCTCCTCAGATCGCTCAGTGGGCTTATCACACTGAAAGCCTCAGGAAGGCTTGAACTTTGGCGTCTCCTTTTCCTGTGGTTCAAAACTTAGGAGCGGCTTAAAGCTGTGCCAGGGGATGGTGCCAAAGGATGCAAGAACAAGTTGCTTCCTTGCTTCTGATGCAGAACAACGACTTCTAGGAGGCTAAGGAAAGCTCTGAAGGCGATTCCCGATTCCCTGCAGAACACCTGCCTGCGGTCTTTGCCGGCTCTACTCCACTCTCAACCTTCTTACTACACGGTTAGCAAAAGTAAAAACGCCTTACTGCAGGGCTCAAAAACATTAACTAAAACGAGTCTAAAATACAGAAGTGACACCATACGATTTAGACTCTTTGCTCTGGGATTGTACAGCACCCAACGCGCCGAGGTCCCGGCTCAGGATCAGGGGCTCCTAAGCACCTCTTCGATACGGTGCTTCACAAGTGACGTTTTCAGAAGCCTCGCGCCTCGCACGGAAATCAGGAGGCGTTTCGACGCGGGGTTGGGCCGCGACTTTGCCGCCGCAACAAGGGGGCATGGAGACGGACCCCCGCTTCCCTCAAACTCTGTGCGAGGCATCCTTGCTGAACAGGGCCCTCGCCGGTCTACGGCTTCACCGCCTGGCACCCCCTTTGCCACCTCGTTTCCCCTCCGCCCTGCCCCTGCAGCGCTCTTCAGGGGGCAGCGGGGCCCCTGCCCAGCCGCTCACCTCCTCCCCCGTCTCACCGGGGCTCCCCCCTCAGCACCGGCCCAGGCGCGGGGAGCTGCGGCCCTGCGCAGAGCCGGCCCCGCGCCCCTCCCCGGCTCCCTTTGTAGCAAACATCCGGGCTTCCCCCGCTGGCTCCGCTCCCGCTTCTCCCTTTTTTTTTTTTTTTCTTCCAAGAAGCCATTTTGGACGCCGTTCAGGCTTTTTGTGTGTGTGTGCGTGCGTGTGCGTGTGTGGCGGGGGCGGCTCGCGGCCCCTGCACGCCCTCGCCCCACGCCATGCCTCGGCCCCCGCGCCGCTCCCGGCCCCTGCGGCCGCCG